TAGTATGTCTACTTTTTGAAAAATTTAATGATTTATGTTTCCTAAAAACTTGGTGAATGCTATTCTCCACCATTAAAAATTAAATGATTTTTTGTGCCCTGAAATCTCTTGCTTTGCTAAATGTATATATCAAGAATAAGATTAACAGTTTCAATAGTGATTTAGATGAAATTTTTGCAAAGATAATCTTCCTTATATCATCATCATAGGTTAAAAAGACATTGTGAATTCATTAAACAATTAGAAATTTAACCATTGGCAAACAAAAAAAAAAAAAAAAAAAAGGCGTGGCGACCACTAACAAATTAGTTAAGGGAATTCAGACGTCCTTTAATTTTCACCAGAGCCATTTTTACCGACATGTAAAACACCTCAGAAAAAATCCGTAAATTTGAAAATCATGCCTACCAAAAAAAAAAAGTTCGAGCCGAGAATATTTCTGAATATATGGAAACCACCCCAAGGACTTGAGGTGGGTCTGAAAAAAACTTACATTTACCAATTGCAAAAAGCGGTAAGTTAAAAGTATGAAGGGAAAATCTATGATGTAAAATGGTTAATTTCTTCGGTGATTGAAAAAAATTTTTTGTTTCAGCATGATTTGACCATAAATGCTATATCAATAAAATGGTTTTCTTGAATACAATTGATTATTTTTCAAAAAATCTTTTGGTATAGGGCTCTAAAATTAGTAAGGAAACCAATATTATTTTTATATATATAATGTTTTTTGTCATTCTGTTATGGAGTGGTTTCACAGTGGAGGCTTGTATTTGTACTAAGTCGGTCCTAAAATAGGTTCGACGTACAAAACATTAGGAACTTCATATAATAGGTATGACGCAGAGAAATCTAGTCGTGGTCGCTGATACTTTAGTATCCGACTAACGGTCGTCCGGCATCGACTGACTGAACAAATCACTGAGCGACTGACTTGTTACTCTTACTACTCCTACTTATTATAGGTGGGAGAGTCTATTGACTATAGAATAGGTGTGTTCCACTATAACACATTCACTGGTTAAGTATTGAGTTTGGCACCTGAAAGCAGTTTTTGTGATCCACACAAGGAACCTCTTGGTTAGAAAATAAGTATTTTTTTAATTCTTGTATCTCTTTAGATTGAAAATTGAAAGTGAACAATAACTGTTTTTGTTTTCCTAAAACATGAAATCATTTTAAGAAATAACTATGCTAGCAAGCAAAAAAAAAAAAAAAAATGACTGTTTCCAGATTTTAAAATGTTCAAAGACAGATTACATGAACATTAAATGTTGTTGGCTGATCATTGAAGGTTAAATGAGAATAGTATTGAAAGACTTAAAAAAAAAATTATTTTTTATTATCGTAAAAGCCAAATTATCAATGTAATTTTTTTTAATGAAAAATTTTAGCAGTTTCGATCAATTTTGTAACAAGAAAAAAGTTTTTGGAATTTGACATCATTTTTCTTCTAGCTTCTTTTTCTATTGGGATGGGTTGGTCGATGCTTTTGGCATTCAAGTCACAAACAGGAAAACTAAACATATTGTCAAAAAAAACAAAAAAACATTACTTGTCAAGCACTTAACAAAATTTCTGCAGTTTTTTTGGATTTTTAGATTTTTTTGTCCTCTTTGTGTTTCTCTTTCTGGTTATCTTATAGTTGCTATACCCCTTTTAATAAGCCTATCAGTCTGTTTGTGGGTGCATATTAAGAAGTAATACAATTTAGTTCAGGTGTGTATGTTTTTATGTATATGTGAACATTGAGTATGGTTGTGTGTATGTAAAATAAATGAATGAGAAAAACATTTATATGTATACACAAGGTCTATCCAGAAAGAACAAAGAAAGCCTGCCTAGGGTGATGGCATCTTATTCACCTTCAAAGTACTTTCTTTGAATCTGTCCTGGGTAGGACGATAAACTACATCCAACAGCAAGGCCTCTGATCAGAAGGTTCTGAGGAGCGTGGAACCATCCCTTAATTGCTAGTGTTCCCAGGTCCACCCTGACCTGGGATGGTTGCAAAAATAGTTAACAAAAAACTGGGGTCAAAACACTATGAAAGTGTAAAAATAGGTTTTAATACCAGAAATACTTTGTAAAAAAAAAAATTATTATCAGCAATAAATCTTTTAACAAAAATTATTACCAGCAATACATTATTATTAGCAATAAATTTTTGAAAAAAAAAATATTACCAGCAATACTTTTTTTTTTTTTTTTTTTTGAAGAAAAATTACCAGCTATATATTTTTAAAAAAAATTACCAAAAATCTTAAATATTAAATAACCTATTGACGTTGATATGCCGTAAAACAAAACAAACTTTCCTTCAATCCTAATCTCTGTATTCTTTCCACTTTCTAAGAGAGTCTGTAATATCTTCTTTTGGGATTGTCATCAGTTGCCTCATCACATTTGCCTTCATTCTGAATCTCATTTATGGTCTAAGATCTCTTCCCTTTCTATATTGATTTTTTTTTTTCTTTGGGAAAAACTAGAAAGTACAGGAAGCTAAACTGAGTGATGTGATGTTTTTCCAAGAAACCTACACATCATTATAATGCAATATGACACACACTACACATGCTCTCTTGATGGTGTTTCCCTGGAAACTGAATAAGACCACAGGAGTGTCTTTCTTCATGTATGCATGATAAATCTTTCTCTGATTGTCAAATTGCATCAAAGCTGTGCAACCAGTTCTCAAGGGATTCAAAATGACTAAGTTCATTTTGGGCTGGGCTTGTGTGTTTGTGCCTCTTTTATTTGTTTGTGTGTATGTATATATATATATATATATATATATATATATGTATATATATATATATATATATGTGTGTGTGTATGTATAGTGACAGCATTAAAGACAACAGACATTTTATATTGATTTTTGTATTGATCAACTTTTCAAAATTATGAATAATAATAATTCTTAGGTCAGAAGAATTACTGTCAGAAATTGTTCAAAGTTCTTTTTGAAAGAAATATGGTCCAAGCTTTCATCATCAAGGTAGGTACAGACAAATGCTGAGTTTCATAGAACTGGTGAGTGTAGTGATGTGTGTGTGCTTATTTATTTTTTTATATACATCTAAGGATGTAGGCAATTGGTTGTCTTAAATTATAATGGTTGTTTTTGTTATATGGGTATTGCTTTGAGGATCATCAGTCTGTTTTTACTGTATGATTTTGCTAGTATTTTGATATTGTTTGTGATTAGCTGTCTGTTGTCACTATGATTCTTATGCTGCTTATTAATGTGTTGTCTGATGGCACTCTGGTCTGATAGGTGGCAAGTGAGTCTCCATGAGAGTATGATTGTTTTGTATTCTATGTAAGACATTTTGTGATGTTAATTACAAACTTTCTCTGAACATTGGTCTTGTATAAGGGGTTGGAAGTTTGGGATATATATATAGCAATTATTCATCAAACAATTATGATTAAAAAGAACCAACAAGGCCTGCCTGGTTAATTTTTTATTTGGAATAATACAATACAAAAAATTAAATGCAGACCTTGTCAATTCCTTTTAATCAAGCTTATGTGTAATAATATATATTTTCTTTACTTGATAAAAAAATGTGCATATCATGAAAGTAAAAAAGAAAAGATGATTTACAAATAAAATTAGTTCACAATGAAATATACTCATGATTGAATGAAACTCACAATACAGATTGAAAAAAAGGTAACTGAAATATTTTATTTAAATAATTATTATTGCTCAGTATTCATTTTGAGCTTTGTATTTGCAAGGGTTGCTCAGCTTAAATGTATTGTCTTCTTGTATTACCCTGGTTGATCATATTTTTTTTATAAATTAGTCTTTATTATTGTTTATATATGTTTGTATGCAATTTGATAAACAAAAAAATGAGGTTGATTTTGTTAATATTTTTATTATGTTTGCAGAAATTACATTGAAAACAAATTAATCTACAAAGATGACAAGAACCATTTGAATAAGTCAATGTTAGGATAATTAATGACAAAGTGAAAAAAAAATTGTCATTAATTTTCCTAAGATCATTTTGATATGTAAAAATTTATATATCATTTCCTCCCATAAATCAATGTACAGGGTGCAGCAGAAATACCTCCCACATATACTAAGACATTAGTGTCAAGAGTGTCATCATCTTGCTAGTGTCTTACCATTATCTGGGAGGTGTTTCTGCCACACACTGTATAATGACAAAAAACAAGTTATAGTACTTTATAGTACCCTATTGTATTCATCCATCTGCTGAAAACCTACTTACTACAGAAACCATTGCAGCAACACCTAGTGTAGTGAAGTTGTGGCTCACTATTTCTTGTTGAGTCTACAGGACTTGAGTGAGTAGAAATTTCTAATAAAAAAAGGGATAAAATTATCAAATAAGAAATAAGTGAAATTTTGAGGGTACATAATTAGGAAAGAGAGCTTAGAAAATTTAACACTCACAGAACATTAAAGGCAAGAGGGACAGAGGGAAACAGCATATTACCTACCTTATAGTCTTGTGTAAATGGTTGTCCAAACAAGGATTAGGTGAGATATCAAAATGAAAAAAAATTTAGCATTATCTACAAAAGACAGGAAATTGTGGTGAGCCATGATCACCTATATCACCAGAACACAGAAAAAAAAAATTTCCTGAAAAACCTTTAAGAGAAAGATGACATAAATTTCAATCAAATGTAATACTAACTGTATAGTTAATGAATGGCAGATAGGAATGCATTGTAAATGATTTTAATAAAGAAATAATATTAGAAAGAGCTATAACATTTAATGGTCATGACAAGTCTAATTTTCTGAACAACTGTTTTAATAGAAAGATGTTATAAATGTCAGTGAACAGTAATGCTAACTGTTCAGCCAATGAATGCCAAGCATTTCCTATATGTAAACTGCTAATTCCATCATTATCATTACAAAAAGTACTTTTATTGAGCCATGTCAATAATTTTGATAGTTTCTATCTATCGAAATTAGTAAATTGGTAAACCAGAATCTAGTTGATGAGACCAGAAAGCTTACACTGTTTCCTGTATGATCACTGAAGTTAAGCAACGTCGAGCCTGGTCAGTACCTAGATGGGTGACCGCTTGGGAATATCAGGGATTGTAAGCTTGGATGTGTGGGTGATATAATGGATAACAGCTCAGAATTGTTGATAGGAGAACCAAGTTTCAATTTCTATTGGATTCATTATATTCACTTATATGCAAAAGGAAACCACCTTCTCCCCCCGGCTATTCATTATTTAGTAAGACTTGTATAACTAAACCATTATTATCTAAAAAAAAAAAAAAATTCTAAAAATATTTTCTGGTTTTAAATAACCTGCAAGCCATAGAAACAAATCAATCTATCATAAAATTTATTCTAGCTCAATAAATCATTTAATTCATGTTGAAAATCTTTAAATTTACCTAACCTAATCTGTCCTGGGTAAGATGATAAACTACATCTGCGTCCTGGGTAAGATGATAAACTACGTCTGACAGCAAGGCCTCTGATCGGGAGGAGCATGGAAGCACCTCTTAATTGCATGTGTTCCTAGGTCTACCCTGACTCGGGTGGTAGCACCTGTTAGGGTCCCAGATATAGGCAAATAGTTAACCCCCAAACTCGGATCAAAACTATATGATAGTGTAAAAATAGGTTTTAATACCAGAATTACTTTGTATAAAAAAAAAAAAAATGATTACCAGCAATACATTTTTGAAAAATAAATATTACCAGCGAAGGGAAATTATTACCAGAAATAGATTTTTGGAAAAAAAAATATTACCAACAATGAAAATTTTGTTGGCATTAAATAACTCATTGAGGTTAATATGCCGTAAAACAAAACAGACCAACCTAACCAAGTTTTGAACAAGGCCAAAATAATGGAGCAGCCAGTAAGAATCAAAATTTCTATGAGTTTGGTAACTATCACTATGGTAGCCACCTGTCTCATGTACAAGGAAAATTGTTTCTGGCTGTCATAGACAGAAAAATAATATCAAGGTATGTTCGCAAGCAAGAAATTGGTTGGGTGGGGGAGTTGTTTTTCTCTACATGAAAGATCTTCACCATTTCCCTTGAGGCTTTGTCTTCTAATTTACTTAGCTTCTGCCATTAGTCATTCTTGGAGATTTCTTACTCGTAAAAGTCTTTGCAACTGGTGTCACCAAGTACAATTACTCTTGTAAACATCTTCAATACTTGCATGTTCAAAAGGAATTAAAGGAATTCAGAAGGCGGCAAACTCGACAATATATATAAAAAAATGCTTTGTTTTTCATTTTGCCTGAACTTTAAATAACATTTTTGTTTAGACACAGGAAGTGAATAGTATTGTGCATTGTACTATTTTTTTTTTTTTTTTTTTTTTTTTACTCCATTCCTAGATTTTAGCACTTCTAAAATATTTCATATATATCGAGGATATTTTCTAAGATTCTTCTGTGTGCTGTCTCCTTTCAGTATGTGGGCAATCATGGCTCTTTACAACTTTCTATTTTTGTGGCCTTTAACAGTGTTTCTGGCCTTGCCAAGCCTTCCAACATCCATTCACATAAGTTTGCCCTCAGTATGCCCCTAAGGGATAAGTTTTCCAAGCCCTCTTTCCTCGTTTTATTAAAAAAATTTCAGCTGCCTCTTTTTGATTCTGAGTTTTTTTTGTTACTATTTTCCTTAGTCCTTACTCAGTCTGTCCAGTGAGTTCTCAGTATCCTTCTGTAGAACAACATTTCTGCTACCTTCAGTTTTCTCATATGTGGGGAGATTGTCCAGCATTCAATCCTATATAAGAGGAAAGCTCATCAAAACAATAAGTAGACTTGGCGTGTTGATTAGTATAATAAAAATTTGTAGTTAAGAGAACGTGGAAACAGATTAGTCTCGTACAAAACATATAAAGGATGGGATACTTGCGATGATCAAAAATGAAGAATTTATGTATATTTCTTGGCGTTCAGGATGCTAATTTTTTTTTTTTTTTTTGGTTTTTGGTTTTTCCCAAAAAATCTTCAGAACATTTATTTCACAACTTCGAGGCTTATATTTGATTACCTACAAGCCTCAGACTACTTTAATATTTTCCCAAAATTTTCACTGAACAAATTCAGAGTATGCATTCAAAGCTGTCAAGTGTCTTATATATATTATATATATATATATATATATATATATATATATATATATTGTTTTTACTATTCATCCAACAGGCAAGCTTTCTTATTTTCTAAACAAGTTTCATATTTTTTCATATATCTTATTTTTACCTTCTTAAATTGATATACAGCGTAACCCGGATATAAGAGAGTTGTCGGGACCGGAGAAGAAGTATCTTATATCCGGGTTTCTCATATCCGGGTTAGGTCTATTTTATATACATTAACACAGGCTCTAATTTGGGACCAGAGAAAATCTCTCTTATATCCGGGTTACACTGTATATACTTATCTTTGTCCTAATGTATCTTTGTTACCGACACCTACAATATTCATTTCATTCATTCATTCATTTTTTTTTTTTTTTTTTTTTTTTTAAATAATTAAGTTTTACTTTTTCACTTGGTGCTGTGAATTTTATTTACAGTGTAACCCGGATATAAGAGAGTTGTCGGGACCGGAGAAGAAGTATCTTATATCCGGGTTTCTCTTATATCCGGGTTTGGTCTATTTTGTTTAAGTAACACAGACTCTAATTTGGGACCAGAGAAAATCTCTCTTATATCCGGGTTTCTTATATCCGGGTTACACTATTTATTTAAAAAAAAAGTTTTATCTTTTACTTTGTAAGGGGACATAAAATGAAGTGTGTATTGGTTTATAAATTGAGTGTTTCAGACATGTTTAATTCCTATTTGAATTTCTGGAACCTAGTTTTATTACTACTCTCGAGTCCCGGATATAGTGGAAGGGATTAGAATAGTGTGTGTGGGGGGGGGTCAAAAGAATTGTTCAGCTTCGAACTCCTTGAGAATACTAATAAGCCAAGAGCGATTGGAATAAAATGTCCTTGTCGAAATATTAAAAAAAATATAATATATGGGGAAGGAATTCAGTATTCATTTTTTAAAGTTTTCGGCTGTTGTACTCTTCGGTCTTCCTCGAGTGTCTTTCATATTCGGTAATCTTTAGGGGATATTAAACAGGGCATTTAGACGGTCTCTTTTAAACATATTAAAAATTATAATGGGAACGGAGTGCTTCCCTTACTTTACACCTATACATTCTTACCAGCCAATCAGAAACCAGTTTCTGTTGGCGTCAAAAACCCCAATCTTAAACTCTTTTTGTATCGTGACGTGCTGATCGACCCTGGGGATTCGTCGCTTAAGGCGTAAAGTTAACATTTTGAATCAAGTTAAACGAGCTCTTCCTTTAAGATAAAGTTGGACTCCACAAGCTCAATTAAAAGCCTGCAATCGCCTCTTTTTCTTCTTGTATATGTTGTTGATGATAGTGTTTATTTGTCTTTTCGCTCGTTAAATTTTCTCCCGCTTGTGTGAATCAACATGAAAATATAATAAGATTGCTGTTTGGCTTAATCCAAAGACGCGAAGCGTAGCTTAAAAGAATCATTGAATAGCACATGAATACTTCGAGAGAAAATGGTTTTTGTCTTGCACATGGGTAATAATTACATTAGGTTGAAATTCGTGCACTCTTGGAAGAACACAGAGCATTTGTTGCTTCCTATTTATATGCGATCTTAATCGAATTCAATAATTAAAACCTGGATGAAAAAAAAAAAAGTTGCTTAAATGGATGGTAAGTGTTCAAACTATATTCCTTAGTTCTAACCTTTACGGCTAATATCTGCTATGCAGGGTCGGTGCATACTATGATTTAGGGTCCTGGGTAGTGCTTTGTGACCCTCGTTATCTTATCAACATTTGATTTTTTTTTCCTACCTACATTTATGTAAGCTACGAATTAAACTAAGCACAGCTGACGATTAAAGGATGAAAAATTTTCGCAGATTTTGACGTCATTCTAGGGTTTTTTGTTTTGCTCATGCTAATTCTTGAATAAAACGACGATATAAAATTAATTATTTTTTATCCATAATGTTGAATGTCTTAAGATTCAACTCTTTAATAAGAAATCTCAAGTTGATGTTAAAATTAGCGCAAAACATTGATGATGGCATGTCTCTAATTTGTATTTAGATACACTGTACAGTGTAACCCGGATATAAGAGAGTTGTCGGGACCGGAGTAGTCTCTTATATCCGGGTTTCTCTTATATCCAGGTTACACTGTATTTATTTTCCTTTTTCCGAGTTTAATTGTTCACCTATATTTCATAAACTTCATAAGATCGACATCGTTAGGTTACAATAAAATTTATACTTCATATGAATACTACCTTATGAAATTTGAGATGTAGCAGAGTGGGTGTGGTCGTATCACGATTCGGGTGTGTGGGGGTGGGGGGTGCATCATAGATTGGGGAGTACGAAACCCTTGCACCGGCTCTGCTGCCATCCCACGCACATTGTAGCGAACCACACTCATTCCTTTCGTATTCCATTGGTGAGATGCAAGTTCCACTCGAACAGCAGCTTCTCATGGATCTCTGCTTTGTGGAACCGACTCTTAAAGGGAGGCTTCCCCGATCACTACAATCCTAACGGTTAACCGTAGACTTGAACAGGTTATCTTCCTCATATAACACCATAAACTATGCTTCTTACTCTGTAACCGTCTACCTCGAGTGACTCTTGGGCTTTGTATCGGGTTAACTTCAGTGTGAAATGGCGTTGTAATAAAAAATAAATAAATTGTAAGCATTTTGCTTTTGATGCTAAATTGTTTTTGGCTGACTAGCCGTCAGTTTATAGAAGAAAATGGGTTTTAGTGAAAAACTTAATGTAATTTTTTATAGGTCATAAAATATGGTGCTTTGTTACTTTAATTTGATGTTTTCATTAGCTTAAAAAACAGGGATCCGCATTTACTGTTTAAAAAAAAAACGATGGTCGACTTATGCACGAGTAAAATAAAAAAGATATTAAAAAAACAGAAGGGGAATGTGGTTCATTTTTTTCTTAAATGCCCACTCATTCTACTTCATTTTTGGTTAATCTAAAAGGAGTAAAAAAATTGAAAGAAAATTTATTTTTGTA